GTTTACCGTTCACTCTGCTGCAGCTGCATCGGAGCTGCTAACAGAGCGTCCTGCTGCCGCTGCTGCTCCACATTAAAAGAGTGTGTCTGTCTGTCGCTGGTTGAACGGGAGATGTTGATGAGAAGTGTGGACACAGAAGAAGACAGCGATCACTCTCTGTATTTGTTTCACTGTTCGTTGAAGAGTTTCAGGCTCCACACTCCTCAGCAACGGAAACCAACTTTGCCTTTCACACCAGGCGTAGCATGAAATCAAATCACACTTTATAAAGTTGCTTCGGACTGACCTCTTCACTGATACACCGCACAACTGTTGGATGTCAGGAAGCCAGTATATCATTGCACAGCCTTCCCAAGGAGTAATATTCTGACCAGTGGTTAAGGTTTTACCAAGCTAACAGCTGTAGGCTACAGTCCGTTACCTGTGGCTGACCTGGCCGTGTGTCACTCAGAAAATAGTCAACCAATCAGAGGAGAGATTGACACAAAACACCCTGTTCTTGCTAGAGAGAGAAGATGTCAAACTATTTCGAGATTGTTTTTGGTCCTTAAAACCACAAATATACACTATCTTCATATGGAAATCAAAACTTAGTGCCGAAGTCTTTGGGATCACGAATTAAATCTCCACATTTTCGCCCAAATTTGAATAAACTGTCCGGTGGTGATTGGTACAGCCAAATCCAGGGTGACAGACATTACGTTATGTGTGTGTATGAAAGGTCCGATAAATAAGTTAGTGTGTGTCTGTGTGACGTGATGTGTTCCTCTAAGCAAGCAGCGTGAACTATGCAAAGTATATCAAATTAAAAAATGGATCGAGCATACATTTTCCTCGATTGGTTTGGATCAAAGGAAACTGGCTGTAGATATAGTGGAAGCTCTACTGTCACTGCAGCGGGCTATGAGCCTGAAAGACAAACTCAGGGATGGAACTTCAACTGCACCTGCTTTTCTTGCCTGTTTGAACACGAGGACAGAAGCTGAGCTTCAAACGGAGCTGGAGCTGGAGTGACGCCTCACAGATAACTACCTCCAGCTCTGTCATTTTCTCTCCCTCACAGCCGCTCCCTGCTTGTTTCCACGGCCGTGTGTAGGTTCACAAGCTGGAGCTCCTCTTTCCGCTCTGACACTCCGCAATCAGATGTGACACACTGAAGGCTCAGATGACAGCCGGGAAGACAAGGTCACACAGTCACCTACTTTTAACGCACAGCTCCTTCTGACAAGCCAACATACACTTGCACGTGCACACAGTGTGCTCGCGCGCGTGCACCTTCGCTTGCTCACAGACGCGCGCGCACATGTACAAACATACACAGTGGCGAGGCGGAGCTGGAGTATTTTGCAGACAGGGCCTTTTTCTCGTGCCTGTGCAATCTCAGAAGCAATTACCTATTAAAATTTCATCCTTCCCATCTCTGAATGTTTAGGAAAAGATTATAACTGCTGGGGAGGTAATTAAGCCTGCAAATGGTGAATTGAGTTGTGAATACAGAGCACTGTGTGTGTGTGTGTGTGTGTGTGTGTGTGATTGTGTGCATAGCTGTGTATGTTTTTGTCTTAATAAAACTAACAGCGCTGCCCACCTAAAGCTCTTTAGTGTGAAACCCAAAATGACAATTACAGAATTAAAAAGTGCGATGTCGGTCTGGAGGAAGTGCTCGATGTAATAATTCACATGTATAACCTCGATTTTCCAATTAAATTTCACATTTAACATCTTCATTAGATTATACAGTAAGAGTAGTAGCAATGAAATTAGCTGCTGCTTTTGTCAAGTAGACTCAAACACTCAAGTCTTCTAGTGTAAATGGCAATGGCTAAAGATGTTTTCACAGGTTGCCATGGCAATCCAAGCATGAGCTTTAATATGAAACATATGATAAATACAAAGGCCTTCAGAGGTTCAGAAATCAATCAATCTGGACGTTTGCCACCAAGATCATTTGTACCATGCGCTCTCCTTCCCCGATCTCATTTTCTTCTCTTCCTCCATTCCTCCCATCTTTGTCTCTTCGGCCTCTTTGATGCTGAAAGCGAAGAGACTCGGGATTTTCAGCCTTTTAAGGATTCAAACAAAGTCTCTGGGTTTTGAGATGACATGAAAGTCTGCCAGCCGACCCGGCTGGGGAATAAGGTGGGCTGGCATGGTTCTGGTTCGCAAAGCTACCAGAGTGTCCATTTTTAATATGCAGCAGGTTTTCGGGGGGCTCATGCTCGATTCACATGCCGAACCTCAGGCTTTTGTACTGCTAATTGACAGTGTGCGTCTCTCACTTGCACATATGATAATGATTATGACTTATCAAGACACAGCAAAGCACACGGTGGGAGCAGAGGCTTCACTCGCTGTTCTAAACCTCTGCAGACAAATAAACTGAATAAAATGCTGCAGGGGAACCGTATAAATGCTACGCAGCGCAGGTTATCTCCGAGTCCTTTACAGACAAATAGCATTCTGTGACTGACACTCGCATGAGGCCCAAAGGAATTTCCTCCTATAGCAGCGGCAGAGAGCTGCCAGACCAGATTCATTGATGCCAGTAATAGGGCAATCTGGCCATAAGCTATAATCAATATGTGGTTTGCACTAAAAATAGATTTTCCAGCACAATCCTGCGCTATAACTGGGCAAAGTCCCCTCGTGCAAACGTACGTGGTCCTTTTAACCTGAACACTTTGCAATTAGCACTCTCCTCATTCTTCTTCTCTCCTTCCCTCATGTGTCGTCTGCATTCAGAGCGACAACCGCACTGAAAAATCATCTGGGCCTTTTCGTTCTATTTATCTTCCTTTAATCACTTAAAACAAGAATAACATGTCCGTATCCTGCAAAATCCATATCTAATTCCTCCTACGACCCCTCCCCATCCCCCCCCACCCCGTGATAAATTGCCTCCTTCGCCGACTGAGGGGACCCATAAACCCATCAGGTGGCCGTCGAGGAGGATCCCGCCAGATCATAGAGGTTAATGACATTCCACATGATTACCCACAAGCCCGAGGATTAAAGGGTTCAGAGGAGCAGGATCCACATTGCAAATAATAATGGCTATTTCACAGCGGCGTCCTATTGGCCGGTCAGGTGATAGGCCACCACGCTATCTCATCTCTCCCACTGTGAGGAGAGGGAAAAAGACTCGCACGGACCCCGACCCCTACTCCAAGCGTTATTTATCTCTTTTCACATTAGAATGTTTCTTTTTTTTTTTGAAGACTTGGCCCCCCTCCTCTCTGAAAGCAAACCTTTTAAATGAATACCCCCCCCCCCCCGGGCCCCGTGGGGTTTTTTTTTTCCCGCCCCCCCCCCCCGTCCATGAGCTGCGCTCTCATCATGATGTTGATGGTGTCTGTGGGCGTAGTGCTTCATGCTGAGTAGGGTTATGTCACCTTGTCGTTAGCCAGGGGAGCTGTTGTAGGATTACATATTTATCTCATTCACACAAATAGAAGTACTTCCTCAACCCCCCACCCCACCCCCCCACCGCTTCCTTACATGTACACTTCCTCGCTTCCTCTGTTGATGGTTTCCAAACACAAACTGTGAACTGGAGGGAAAAAATTTAGAGATTTGGCGACGCTGTTGGTGCTATAAACCAATCAGGAACTGTTCTTATAAAAGGCAACAATGGCATGAAAAAAAAAAAACTTCTTTATCTTGTGTTTAGCAGCAAAAACATTTTGAAAGCAAGTCAACAATTTGGTCAGACTTCGTGCTGCCAGGTGGAAAATTCCAAAAGAATCTCCTCCAACTGGTAAGTCTTCTTACTTTTCATGAAAACACAACTTAAAAACTCAAACTCACATGAAATAACATTGTGAGATTGCTTATTTTTTTCTTGCTGTGCACCAAAGTGATGAAATGCACTCAAAAAGCCAAGCAGCAGTCTTTTTGATGTGGGAGGATTTCAGCTGCAGTCAGATGGAATTGAACAAGGTGCCATTCATGTATAACTCGATAGTAACACAAGAAATGAGGGTAAAAACAGTGCTCTGACAATACAAAAGTCGGTGCAGACTCCGAGTGTCTCGAACGCATCATTTGTGTTGAGATTCATTTTAGATCTGCTTTTTTTGTTTTGGCACAAGAAACAGACGGACTGGAGATGCAACTCTGAGGGAATGTGAAGGCTGTGTACCCACTGTTCCCATGATGTGTGTGCTGGTGTGTGTGTGCTGGTGTGTGTGTGTGTGTGTGTGTTTTTGTTGTGTGCATTCATCTGTTTGATCTTCGGTGTTAAAAAACACAAAGGAGCTTGGTACTGTAGCAGCCCACGGGACGCAACAGAAATAGATGGCATTCATGTGCTCTGTATTCTACCCCCACCACCAACACCACCACCCTTCAAACTCCCAGCCAGCCCCCATCCCAATCCCCCTACACACACACACACACACTACCACCACTTCCTCACCGACTCACACACACACACACACACACACACACACACTCCCACTTCCCTCTTTCTCTCTCTCATTATATCATGTGGGCATGAACCAAAATAAAACGGTGAATACGGGTTGGATTTGAGAAGCAGCAGAAAAAGGCAGGCAGATATTCTCTTTCGAGCGCGTTATGAAATCTGGCCGGTGTGCGATAAAACAAAAACCCAATGCTGTCATTTGAAACAAAATAGGCAAACGCCTGCAGGGATGTGTGTGTTCTCCCTCTGCACATACTCTGTATCTTTGAGGATTTTCTGACTAACACACCAGATATGAGTTTTGGTGAGTCCAGCTGAGATGACTGACTTAATCCCAATCCCTCACATCCCTTACATCACTGCAAAAGCCTTCAGAGGGGCCTCTGACACCAACCTGGACACATTCAAGTCGCTTTAAATAAGCAGCTTTTTATTGCTGACACACACACACACACACACACACACACCCCACCCACACTTCCATATGCTGCTTTAAGTTATACTCACAGTTCACAACAGCCAGTAATGAGCTGTCCAAAAAATGAAAAGAAAATATTTTAAACAAAAAACTCACGGAGGTTTGTGGATCTGGAAACATAGTGCTGGGAATGCATCCCCAGGGCCTCCTCCCCCCGATACTGCTCACCTGGACACCCGCCCTGCAGCACACTGGCCACGGCCCTGTCAGACAGACGGAGAGAGGAGAGGAGAGACAGGGGGAGGGGAGGGGGGGGCGGTGATGGATGAGGGGTGCAGACATGAGGAACTGTGCATAACACGGTTAATTTAATTATTCAGTTGGGCTGCACCGCTGCACAGCATCTCTTCATGACACTGTGAGGTGCAGCTGAGTGTACATTAAAAAAAAAATGTGATTCCCTGATGAATGGAAAAAAAAAAGAAGAAAGATTTGGTTTCATTTGTGCTGTTTTTTCTTTATTGCTGCAGTCATTGCACATGCACTCTTGATTATTGCATTACACTATGGAGGTGTGTGAAAAGCATTTTCACCGATCTCAAATCAGACAAACACGATGGAGCGCAATGCCGCCTTACTCCAGTGAAGGAAGCCGCCCCCGCCTGATGAGAGTGGCTCACGTAATGTTATATCACAATGGATGGATAGACAGGAGTGGAGAAAGCGTGCAGCATCCACTCCTGTTCACAAAGAGTCTCAACATAGAAGAGTTGTTCTGGTTGCCCAGAAACCACAGCCTGGGTGTGGACTATGACAACACCGGTGCATTTAAAGCAAGTTGTATCTTTACAATGTGATTTTTATTCTCATGATATACTTCTATATTCACACACACAGGCAGGTGAAGGAGTGAACGACACGTTGCGCGCTCCAGATCCCTCCGTGCGTAGGCTACTACTGCAAGTCTCTTTGTAAACAAGCGCACCGAGAGAGGCAGAGGGAGAGAGAGGATGGGAGGAAGAGAGAGTGAGAGACTTACCTGGACATGTTTTCTCTCTGGGGCCGGTGCGCCTTCTCCAGCCCCAATTTGGTGAAAATCCCCACAAGAGCCATAATGGCCACTACTCCACATATGATGTAAACGATTAAGTTCGTCTTGTCTTTGGTGCTGTCGTGCATCTTGTTCATTTTGTTGTAGGGAGTCTGCCCGGTCTTCATCCACACCGGAGTGTCATAATTTTTACAGGTGCTCTGGTCCAGCCGCGAGTGCTTGTAGGAGCAGCAGAAGCGGAAGCCACAGGTGCCGCAGCAGTACAGATAATTGCCCGTTTTGCAGATGAACGGCGGGTCCCACTGGCCCATCACGTCGTAGTAACCCCGACATTTGTCCTCCGTGTGTGGGGTCTCCTCGGACACGCTCTCCTCCTCCCTGGAGCCGTTGGAGGTCGAGATCATTACGAATCCTCCTAACAGTCCCGGCTCCCCGTCAGCCTTGCACACCAGAGCCATAAGTTTGAGCAACAAGAAGCCGAGGAGAAAGTATTTCCCTCTCATTGTGCTCTCCCCTCCGTTCAACTTCACGCAGAAACGAAAAGACTTGGAGAGAGGAGGAAAGGCGCGCGGTCATGATATGCTGAAAAGTCCAGAAACATACATCCAAACAGCAACGCACCGTCATCCGCGCTGATGAACATCTTTACTAACATATCATCATCCAAAAGAAGAAAAAAGAATAAAAGAAAGAAAAAAACGCAGAATAAAACCAAATCTCCGTGGAATGAACTTGACTTAGTCTGACTAACTGCTCCTCAACGCGCGCTCTCTGCTGCTCGCCACGTCTTTCCAGAAAGACATCTGCGGGCTCGGATCTGGCGTTTTTCAGGAGTGCATCACTTCACATATCCATCGGTGCGCTCTTACGCACAGGAGTAGGCAGAGACACGAGCCGCACGGAGGATGAGAGCGCAGTGAGCGAAGAGAAGAACCGAGGGTGAGAGAGCCTGGTGCGCAAAAGGAGAGGAGGAGGAAAACAGGGAGAGGGAGGGAGGGAGAGAGGAAGACTGCGAGGGATGAGGATAGCGGGTGAGAAAGATAGAGAGAGAGAGAGAGAGAGAGCCTTTATTGTGAAATATGAGAAAAGCCCCGGAATACGCACATCACTATTTTGTTTTGCCGTCGAGGAAAGGCGTGGGAGACACCCCCCTCCTTTTTTTTCCCACTTTACGCATTTTCAGTCGTAGGTTGCAATTGTTTTAAATCACAAGTAGCTTCATGTGTTACAATGGGAAGCTCCTAAAAGCAGGGGATACATTTTTAAAAAAAGCTCCTTCACCAAAAATGTCCCCTCAAGACATCATGTCTATAGATCCCTGGGGACTTTCTCCAAACGTTTTTCACGTTAAAACTCACCCAGATGCAGACCTAACCAAGAGACAGACCAAATAAGAAGAGAAGTCATATGTTTGTTTGTTTTTTTGTTTGTTTGTTTGTTTGTCTTATTTTATTCCTCATTCCTCAAAACAACTTGCACAGTGCTTGACACGGATTTTTTAAGCTAGAATCCTAAGCCTCAATCCCAAATGGTACATCGACGATTGTAAATGTCTGTCCCTTAAAACTAATATATATATTTTTTAAAAACAGTGTTGGCATTTCGCAAACACAGTAGGCGTAAAACACAATGCAAAGCTAGGAGTCAGTTTTCTATTTAGTGGATATATCAAGTTCTTCAAATGCAGTTGTTGCAGTTTTTGGTCAAATAAATTCATAAAACTTGCAAGAGCAAAAAAGGTTGATAACCTTCACCTGCAAATCACACATAGCCTAAAGATGTAAAAATAAATAAATAAATAAATAAAAAAAACTGGTCTATGTAGATTCATGTTGTGGTTAAAAAACAGACCTTGAAAGACCTTTTCAGTCAAATCTTAAAAATATTAAAACAGCCAGATAAACAGTTCGCCCTCCCTGCCAGGAAGAGGATGGGTGGTTGATGCTGGGGTTGGAGCGACCTCTCTCCATGGTGCTGAAAGATTCCAGCCTCTGTCCAAGGTCCCTAAAGTTTTGGGTGAACAAGTAGCTGCGGGCGATCACAGGACCCCCTGCAGTTTTTTAAACACAATGCAAAAATGATTTGGACTCCAGATGTTCAGTTTGTTAAGGTTGACGCTTGGCAGATGTGTTTGCTTAGTGAGAAGAACCACCTGCTCGTAATGTTAATGTTTACAGAGTAACCATGGAATTGTGGGAAAGTTTGTGAATAAAAGCATAATTTTTTTTTAAATTAATTTTGAAATATCCCGCAGCACCTTCATGACCCGGGGCCTCCCCGTGGTGTAGTTAGGGAATCACTCGGAGAATTAGGCTAATTCAGTATTCATTAAGAAAAAGAAAAAAAGAAAACGATATTGCAGGCTATAACTACCTAATTAAAAAAGTAAACATTAAACGTTGTACCTGGTGTGCTGGATCTATACCTGTATGTGAATGCGTTGTTGTCTCTATGTATGTTAGTGAGACCTGCGTGTTGCTGGCACACTGGGGGCCGCTGCAGCGAAACTCACAGACTCACAAACAGGCAGCGTAGTCGATCCCCGATAGTCACCAGTGTTAGCTAGCCGCAGAGCCAGCTGGAGCTACACAACAACAACAACAACAACAACCAAACAAACTTGCTTGGAGGCTCACAAGTGGCAAAATAGTTTTCTCGGACAACTCGCTAAGCAGTGGGTCTTATGGCTGAGAGCGTGGATATCTTTCTCAGGGCAAAACATCGGACATTCAACGGACTGACTGAAGGTAGCCGACTGTTTTAGCCTCTTCAGTTAGCCAACTTACCGGCTAACGCATTAGCTAACGCGCTGTGTAGCTTGGCTGTTATACAAGTTGTTGCTGTTGGCTACAGGTCAGTGGTGTGACAGGGCAAACGCTGTCATTTGACAGCTTTTGTGTCGCTGTGTTTAAATAGCCGGGCCACCGTTCTCCACTAAAGCTAGGCTACACGGCTAGCTTGCTAGCTTGTGTAAACAAAATAAATCATCGGTGTTGTGTTGTGTTGTGCTCTGTTTCAGTAATGAATCAAATCAGCACAGTGCTGACTTCTTTGTTGTGGTTGTTTCGAAAGTAATAGCGATAGTTTGTAGTGATTTACTGTGGAATAATTACGGAGTGGGCTAATAATTCAAACTCCACACTAAAAAGTTATGTTTGTGTCACAACCTAACGCCCTGGGACAGGCTGTTGTATCACAATTTGAATTATTGTCTCCGTGGCTAAAATAAAGTTGAGTAAATTAGCTTCAGAGGGTTGTCTGTGAAGCTGTGTGGTGCAGCCTCGCAGTCAGAATATTCAAGGATTAAAAACATAATCACTGTGGCAAGCTCAGTTATGTTTTTCATCAGTTTTCTACCTTGATATCGGCTTAATTCTTTACAGCCATGTATAGGAAAACTGTTAGTATAAGGGAACCCAAGGGAAAAAATTGAAATGTTCAGTATTTTATTATTTGCTGCAAAAGCAAATCCCAGTGCACTTTCATCTCAAATGATGATTAGCTTTGTTTGGAGCGTACCATCTGCCACCTGAGAAATCTCGGCGATTTATGTTTGAAGTTGTGCTCACACAGCACAGACACACAAGGCTGCTGCCTCTCATCTCCTGTCGTAGGATCCATGTTGACTCCTCCAAGTCCTTGTGTTTTTTAAATTTCTTTTTCATTCTTCTGTGAAACAGTTCACACATCTGACTCCAGAGAGAGATACTGTACTATAAAGTATATTCAGTGCAACAAAAAGCCTGCAGGATTTGTGTGAGAGTGCCTTTCAGATTCATGAAATCTTTACTGATCGTGCCTGTTGTGAGGAGCACTAACGAAAGAAGATGGTTAATAACTCAGGAGCAGGACCAACATGCATGGAGATGTATATGCACATCTACATGTTGTGTGTGTATGCAGGTGCACACAACATGTGCATTCCTGTGTGACTTGAATACATTCCTTTGGAAAGAAGAGCAGGTTTTATCTGCTTGCTGAGGTATGTATTGTTAGGCAATGATTTCCATATACAAACACTCATAAGCTGAGGCAGAGTTTGAAAAGTATTCTGCTGAGCTGCAGGAGATCAAGATGAAAGTTTTTGATCTGTTTAAAAGACAGATCTAGTCAAAGACTGCTGAGATAAAGTTAGGAAACTTAACTTTATTCTACAATGGTCATGGCAGCTGGTTTAAATTCAGAATTCATCAGCAATCCTCACTGTCTGGTCAAAAGTTAAGATCAAGGCCAGGCTAGTTTGGACTGACGGCATTCGTAAATAATTTGGTTGAAGAGATGATGACGATAATCATAAAAGTAGAATGTGTTTCCCCCAGTGGTTTCATAAATGTCAATTATACCAATGGGATCATTGTTAATTTTACATTTGTCTAGATCCCAGGAGCAACACACTCTTTGTGGCTCTTTCGTTTCCTATCTTTGCTCAAGTTTCTCTTGAGGACGGAATTATCATAAACTCATTTGGGAGCGCGATACATGGAGAGCATGTTAAACACAGAGGATGCTGAACAGCTACTAGCCCCTGCTGAGTGTGAGTGAGGGGATTTGTGCAGAATGCAGATGCAGACTCTCCACGCTGACAGCAGTGCGTAACTACAGCACTGCTTCCACATCCTCCGGAAACGAAATGAGTGGAGCAGAAAGCTGTTGTTTACACCTGCTCTTAGCATCTGCTCTTAGCATCTCTCCATTTCCATATCACTTTGCTGGGCTGTCTCTCATGTCCTTCATGTCATACCTTGTCATTACCATCAGCCAAGCAGCGTTGAGTGGCTGCTTCCGTTCCTTACATGGAGAACCAGGCGCAGATTGCCTTGTCAATGAATGTTTGAGGGGTGATTAGATTGTAGGGCCCTTCTGTTACGTAATATCAGGATTATGTAAAACACTTGTTCTTTGCCATTCATTCTCTGACATGTAGCTGTTTGTTAATTATTTAGCATTGGTTACTCATGAAGTGAGTAACACCCCCCACCACCACCCTTCACCCCCCCCCTCCCTCCTTGTATCTTCAATTCCCAGTCCTAAATCCTGATCACAGTGCTTTCAACAAATAAAGTGTTGTTTGGATTCCAACAATGAATATAATGAGGTTTCTACATGAAGCTTTCACAGCAGGCCTTATACCGCTGAATGACTAATGCTGTGATGACACCTAATCCTTAAAGCTTTTTATTTTGCTGCTTATTACTTTGTGCAGTGTTCTGTGGAAGAATCCCGTGACCTAAACGTATTGAAATGAAAATATTCAGATGCTGCCAGAATGAGACGTTAATACCAGTTAGATAAATAAGAAGATGGGCTGCTAGTAAAAGTTGTGTCCATTAAATGCTTCGGCGAACGAGTTTAAATTTGAACAAAAGAGTACTAACGACTATACGCATTTTCCATTAATAGACTAGAGCTGCAACAATTCATTGATTAATCAACAGATAATCCACATTTATTTCAGTGTTTTAAATGTGAGGATTTTATCCTTTTCTTTGTCTCACGTTATAATAAACTGAAACTTTTTTAGGGTAAAACAGAAAAAAAAACAACAATTGAAGACATTATCTCGGGCTGTGGGGATTTTTAATGAGAATTTCACTATTTTCTGACATTTCAAAGACAAAATGATAAGTCGAAAAAAATAATTGCCAAACTAATCAATAATTAAAGCAATTCATAGTAGAAGCCCTAAAGCTGACACTTGTTTTTCTTGTATTTTTGAAAAATACATAAACACACTTGCACATCAGTATTAATTGCTGTTTTTTCCATAAATTTGTCAACACTAAAAAAACATTTGAAACAGTGAAGCGAATTAGAGTTAATTTGTTTTTTCAATGTTTGGTAAATGCTGTGAAATTTATAGCTGTATTAATTCTGTCACCTCAACATCAATAAAGCTGCATTGATTGATTTGTTTGGCCACCAGAGGGCAGTGCAGGAAGAATACAACACCGACACTTTATCACCTTATGAAGTTGTTTTGGCAAACAGTAACATTGTTGGCCATGAAAGCAAAACAATGAGCTGAAAGATGCTAAAATGCTGTGGAGAGCTGATGCATAGTCAGGTGGTTAATTGAGAAACACCCTTCTTATTACATTGCAACTTGATCGTGTGTTACTCTAAAGGTATTAGTGCCGTCGCCATTTTTTACTAACAACATAAGTTTTCTGATGCAGCCTTAAATCATTTTCATTGCGTTGTTGTCTTGGTAGTAACCAGAGTGTCTGTCTCTGCCAACACAGCTATTAAGTTTAGGTTTTTTATTTCAGATGCAGAGCGTGAGTGGACGGGACCATTTTGCTTCATCCAGGCCGCGGACCCACAGCTCGGGCTGATGAAGGCCTGGAGGGACGGAGACTGCGACGGCGGAGGAGACGAATGGGCCGAAGAGGTTGAGCTCACCAAGCAGGCCGTGGAGGCCGTCAACCAGCTCAGACCCAGGCCGAGGTTCATGGTGCTGTGCGGGGACCTGGTCCACGCCATGCCAGGTAGGGATAGAGCACATTAAGCAAAATTGAAACCCACGTTTAAGAACTACATGCGAGGATTACTGCTGCCCTCCTCCGTCAAAAATAAAGACGTTATAGTTGAAGCTTTTCAACTGACGGTGTCAATCTTTTAAGAATACACTCTTTTAAGCTGTTGGCCTGAACAGGTGTTCAGGGGAAGCACTGAGTGCGGGTCCTGCTGTTGCATTGTGATGAGACACTGTTTGAAGTACATTGCTTTTTTCGCTAAACATTAAAATACTTCTCCGAGTGATAAATTCCTGCTGAGTTCTGAGGGCTGTACTATAGCAGCACATGCTTACTATTGAAAACAAGCCACAGCAGTGAAGAGAGGCGCCCAGCGGGCACACAGCCGTATGGACAGTAAAAACAAAATATTGGCATCAACCAGGGTAGCTGCCAATTATCCGCCTAATGTTGGAGGACATAATGTGAACTCACAGATGCCAGTTGTGTGAGCTTTAACTCTGCTCAGGCTCTCTTAGTCAAAACAAATGATAAAGCAGCGGCCCAATGAGTGTTATCTCATGGCATCTGGTACCTCACGCAGGCTCATGCAAATGCTGCACTTATTTTCAAAGTGTTTGAAATGGCTCTCCCTAATGAGTGATAAAAAACAAACTGTTTAGAAACACGAGCTTTGATTTCACACACTATAGGCTGTTTCACCAGTCACATTGTTGTACGCCTCATTTGTATTCAGCAAAAGACACACAGTTCAGTGAGCAGTGCTGGACGGTGAACAGACCTCCTACTGAAGTCATGAGGCTGCTAACTATACGCACGATGCAGGTTTTTAACGAGGGACATCAGATTCACTGCTAATCAGTATTTCTGTTATGACTAAGAAGTGATCTGGTGTCTGACACTAACAGTATGGATCTGGAGAAGATTTATTGTAGGCTCAGGCAGGAGTAGAAGACAATCTGTGCCACCCTCATCAGCTGGTCTCAGCCAACTACACACCAATTACATTACATTACAGTGTTCTATTTAAATACTCCGCTCCATATGTCTAAATCAGGGGTCTCCAACCCTTTTTCTTCTGAGAGCTCCTTTGACAAAATAAAAAGGGGCTGAGAGCTCCTCGTGTCTTATATTACAGTTATTCACATATCGTATCAAAACGGTCAAACTGATCTCCAGAGCAAAAGTCATCAAATATCAATATCCAAAACTCACATTTTGTACCAAAAACATCTGAAACTCACATCAGACAAAAATCTGAGTCATGATTCAGTCAGACCTGAACACACAGACATGAAAACACCGCTGCAAATTAACCTCATAAATCCGCTTAGAAATCGGAGCCAAAAGAAGCTCCTCAGTCCAGAGAAAATTGTCAGTACATCAGTGATACATAACAAACAGGAACTTAAAATTGTTAAGTCAATACACTTAGGGCCTGATTTACTAAAGCTTGTGTAAAAACGTGCATAAACTTGATATCACCCGCAAACAAACGTGCAAGCTGAGCGGTGCGCACTGAGGATTGCGTCTTTCAAATGTGCAAGACAACACGCGCTGTCCATTTAGCACACGCATTGTGCCTTATATAATACGTTTAAAAGGAAGCCGCAGCCATCCTGCTTCCTGTCCGAACTCCTCGTGGCGGAAACCCTTAAAACACGCAAAAACCCTCATTGAAATTTTTGTTTGTGGTTGTTTCTGTTTAGATTCAGTTGCATATGGAGTAGATTTACTGAGTGAAGTTGTGTTGCTTAAAGTTTGAACCGTGCATCCTCAGAACCTTTGGGTGAGCTACTGGTAGCTTGTGAGCCACCTTGTGGAGAGCCCTGGTCTGAATACGAAATCTGATGCTTAAACAGTAACTTGACAAGAAATCTACTTTTTTTTATGTTCAGTTTATTACATTAACTATTGATCCTAGAATAATTTTGTAGAGTTAATTTCTGCGTTTTCACTTTAAGCAGATTACTCGATTATAACTTAAACTAAACACATATGTGATACATCAGTCATTTGCTCTGATATTTCAACCTTATATTATCCCGTGATGTGTCGAGGTCAGACTGGTTTCCACTGCAGGTTTTAGTTTCTGACCTGCCCAGCGTGAGGAAAGCTGATCTGAGAGGAGCTATGATGGCTGCCTGAAATATATTTGTCATAATGGTAAAATGTGACGAATGTTTCTGACTGAAACCATTAAAAATTGAATGCCTTTTCTGTCATATAGAGTTCCAAAAATGACATGCAGCGTAATCTGAATTTCATTTTTTGAGCCTCAGGCTGAATTGATTATTTGTCGTCCCAGTGCAGCAGGTAGGAGAGGTTTGTGATCAATGTATGTATGTGTCTCTGGAAATTTGACCATTTGACCGAAATATGCGGTAAAACCACAAGGGACGACCTATAATAGAGGTGGTGTTGTATTATACTGAATTATTTCACAGCTGCCAGGAGTGTGTAAATATACAGAAAGCCTTGAATTTTCAAAGCTTCCTCACACTGTTTTCACTGCTGCAGAATCTCAGATATGTCGTTAGTAGAAGCCAAGAGAGCTTTCTGACATTCATCAGTCTTTAAAGAGAACGGAATATTTATATATCTATATATATATATTGATTAATGTATTCTCAGCTGCCCTTGGAGGTAGTACTAATCTAATCAATGCAGTCTGTGAAGAGCAGCAGCTAAGGCATGGTTCAGTTGGAGAGGTTTGAACGTTAGGCCAGAGCCTGTAAACAACATCTCACCTATGACAGCAGTTGATATTTGTCTATGGGAAAGCACAGGCTGTCTCACTACCTACAGGAAAGCTGATGAAGCTTTCAGCTGTTGATCAGACCAGCCAGACTTTATATTCTAAATATCTACAAGATAGCGCCTACTCTGTTCCCGCTGCAGCTGGAGTGTAGAAAAGTTAGTTCGCTGCCCTGATGTTGGAGTCTAGGTTGTTAACATCAGACCCCCCGTAACAGCGTGTGATATTTCTCTATAACCAAAAAAAGCACCTGGCTGCCTCGAAGCTGTTTACATGAAAGCAAAGATTTTTGCTTTGTTGAAATGCTTCAGCAGATGGAAACTGGTTACAGATGGAGAATGTGAGACCTTTGTATTCCATCACTTCTTTTTTCAATAATATCTAACTGTGGTGTACACTGGTTTCTCCTCATCAGTCTTCTGCTCTGAGTTAGCCGTGTTAGATGTCTTTGAAGCAGGACAGCAAGCCGACTTCTGTTGCCACAGTGGCAGCTGGTTTCCCCAATTCACCAGATGCATTCACTCTCTGGCCAGACAAATAGATTTTCAGAATAGAACAGGGTTTGAAAATAGTTGGATACCTCCACAAATGGCTGGCCAAGTAAACAAAATAATCATTTTGCTGCTCATTTCCTACCTTGTTTGGAGCTGACATGCTGTGTTTGGCTCATGCTGTGTTCAATTGTGCTCCCTTCTGTCTGTCTGTGTCTCGGTTTCGGTAGTGACTAGAGATATGATGATTAATGCTAACTTGTAAACATCAACCAGCCAATCCTGTGTGTCTCAGCAGAAGACCTTGACTGTGCAGCTCGGCAGGCATCAGAGGCAAACGGATGCTTTTATTAAAGTAACTGTAATGAAATGAGTGACTGCGGTGTGGTGTGAGTTTTTTCTCGATGTCCAGCTGCCTGATTCGATGACAGGGTAAGCAGAACGGGCTGGCGGGACCCACTGCAGAGTTAATGTTCAGCAAAAAAGAGCCGCAAGCTGCCAACCAATGCAAACTACCTTTGCATGACAATTAGGGAGCTAGCATGAGGTGCCTGCCTGACTGCCTGGCCTCAAGGAATGGGCACACAGAGAGAAAAGAAGTCGGCAGGCGAACCTGTCTCTCTGTCCGTCTCTGCACATCTTCTCTCTCGCCGCATCTGTTTACACGTTTGAATGGATCATGATCAAAGTATCGCTGAGCCCGATCCTGATTTGAAGATTACGTAAGATATTATGCAGAAGTGGAACATTTTGTGATATTTAGTGCAGTGTGTCATGTGTAGAATGTCCTTGGCCCCTGTTTCTAAAATTTAACTTAAGGCAAACTATTTATATGCAACACAGATTTGGCTTAGCTTAGTCACAGAGCAGCTCTTCTCCTTTTTGGGTCATAATGACCACCAATTTTAGCTACACAGGGACAGTCATGAACACTCCAGGAGCTGTCTCGCCCTATCATCCAAGAGTCTTGCTGTAGGCGTCCGAGTATCCTTATCATCTCCATGACTGCACCATTTAGACTAAAACATGGCCGCCGTCCATTTTCCACCAGTCTCCCCGTCTCCCTCTGATCAGTCGCATTTATAGGTCACAGCGAGATCTGTTTCAGATGCACAGTGGGACAGTAGCTAGTGTAAGCAGGGGGTTTAAACTGCAAGGCCTCGGGGACCTACGAACGCCGAGGCGTCAGCCCTCGTTACTGTCAGCCCCAGCAGAACAGGTTGTGTGTGCCATCCTCATTACTCGCCATGTCCGTCACATTCCTGGCAACTGGGCTGCTGCATCGGTGGGAAGGAGGGAAGAGATATTAGGAGCTGCTCCTTCCGTCTCTCGGCTGACATTTCCCCTTAAACTGTTTATTTACAATACAGAATGAATGGGGGGCGGCCAGGGGAAGCTGGCTGTCAACCGGCATTGTCAACACTGCTGCCTGTCGGCGACGGGAAATTGGCAACTGTATTTCTGCTCCCTCGGATTTCACTCGCTATCTCTCCTCTCCCTCTCCTCCTCGCGCACTCTCTTTTCCTTTCTCTCTCTTTCCTTCATCATCTGTCTGTTCTCTTTTATAAACAGCTGAGGTCTCATGCCTCATACCTTATTTTGACAACCTTCATTTGCAAGTCTGACACTGCACACAAACACACTCACTTATCCTTGCCTGTGATTAATCTATTTGAAGCATCGGTGTGAATTAAGTCTGGTGTTGAGGAATCAAAAGTTTGTTCTTGTAATTGTTCTGGAACAAACATGAAAAAACAATGAGGTCTTTGTGTTTCATCAGTAATGGGTTTTTTGAACGTGGTAGGAAAACTGAAGGCCGGATAGTGATGTCACCACTTAATAAATCCATGTTCTCATCAAAGAGCAGTCGGTGAGGCAGTGATCAGAAGCACTCGTGCACACAAGATGGAGAAGAACCCTGATGGTCCACAAGGAACAATCCTGTTCCCCAAAACTAAACAGGTCATGCTTCCTTAAAGAAATGCTGGCTAGTATTTGCTCCCTCAGCATCATGTCATCCAGACCTTTACTTGACAGAAAGTTCCTTGATCCTGATTCCCCGCCTTCTCTCCAATCCAAGCTAACCCCCAAGAGACGCTTTCTCATCTCAAGGACTTCCTTCAATCTCGCCGTTCGTTCTCTCCCTATCTCTGCCTCTCTCTCTCCCTCGCTTTCACCCTCTTGTGTCTTTCTCTCACTTATTTTCAAAGCTGACAAATGAAGGGGATAAAGAGCAGGGAGGGGGGACAGCGGCAGGAGGGGAGGTGGGTGGGTGGGTGAAGATATCAGAGCTGATTAGATTAGAGAAACATGCTGGACTTAACACTCTCCTAATGAGCACTACAAAGGATTCAAGCTGCGTCTCTTGGGGTTCACGAGGGATGTTGAGCATGATACGGCGCGGAGAAGTGTTCAAGTACGTGTGTGCATCTGCGTATGTGCACGCACGTGTGTAAAACTCAACAAAGGTGAAGTAGAGGTTACCTTGGGACTTCCCTGTCCCCTCTCTGTAGCTGTGGACACCTGTTTAATTGCCATTGAAGGCAGATAAATTGGTTCTCTCTGTGGGATTCAGAAGCAGAGGAGAGGAGAGCGTGAAGGATTGACTGCCTAGGGAGAGTTTGTTTTTGTGACATGTGGAAGCATTTTGGATTTTTTTTTTTTTTTGGAGGCGGGTGGCTGAATGGGGATGTTCTGTGTGAGTTTATCTAATGGGCTCATCCGGTGGCTTGTGGGAAGTAATAGGTTTCTTAGGGGGGGTTTGCAGCTGCCAGGAGTGTTTAAGTTTAGAAATGTCTCTCTGTCACCACCTTCACACTTTTGTAAAGACCCAGGAGATACACGGTTCAAATGTCAGTGTGAAAAGATCCTCTTAGACTCTGTAAGACAACCCCGGTAAATGTCAGGGTGAATCCATTCATCCATCCATTTTTGACAGCTTATCCAAGTCCAGGTTATGATGACAGCAGGCTAAGAAAAGTAGCCAAGAAATCCCTCTCCCCAGCCACATCCTCCAGGTCCTTCAGTGGCATCCTGAGACTTTTCCAGACCAGAGGGAATATGCAATCCTCCCAGCATGCACTGTGCTTGTCCCAGAAAACCTCTAAAGAGAGGCGTCCAGCAGGCGTTCAAAACCAGTGATCGGACATTCACGCCGAATTCATTCGACGCAGGAATTGTCCAGCTGTTGGATGTATTACCTTCAAGGAGTGACAGTCTGAGAGTCTGCCATTATCCCCCATAATTAAACGACATCACTTTGCCTGCCAAACCGGTGCCAGATCAGAACAACCTGTCAGTGCCGGTACATGCTCGAGTCGATCACAAACATAGAGGTCCCCACACATTCAGAAGACAGTTGTTAAAGTGTAGAAAATGTATGCGACAGCAAGACCCCACGCACTGAGACCTATGTGCAGTGTCGACAGCCAGTCTTTGGGGGAAATTGAGAGAAGTGCTTACAGTGTTGGACAGCTGAACGAGAACCTGCCAAAGTCTCCTGTCAGGGTTTGAGAATCACAGTGCTGCAATCTCATTAAATGAACAAGGCCTTTCAGTCAGAGCTGCGGAGACGGCGGAGAGCAGCATTGTTTCTTTGTTTTTGGTTTTTCTGTACATATACTGTTTATTCCAAAAGAGGAAAGCAGGGTGAGAAAATGGATCCTTAAAATTCATTTTTTTTCATGAGTCCTCATTGTTTTCTGAGCACAAGGAATCCTCCTTATTTATGAAGTGAATGTATCTGCAGAATTGTATTACTCTTTTCTTTGTTTTTTAACGTATCACCTACGATTGTTTAAATCGACACCTGTTACTTTAATGGGTTTACCGAATCCCGCTACTCTGAAGCAAAGTGTCTCAAATGCGGATTGAAGGGCTACTGTATGGTAGAGCGTTGGTTTGAACCGTGTAGCGCGGAGGGATGATTCATGAACATGCTGTGTTAGCGGATGGCTGCAGTTGAGGGCAGGCAGCTGGAGGTGCAAGGAAGCAGAAGGCAGCACAGCGTCCCTGCCACTGTGCGAGGCTACCAGTGCTATTTATTCACATTTATTTATCTAGAGAAAGTTAAGTGTGTGCTAGATGCTCTCGACGAGCCCCACCCTGCATCACTCGAATACACACATTCACACTTGGATGGTGTCAAGCAGAAAACATTTTTTTTTTTTTGCTGTTCTTTGCTGTTCCACTGGAGCAGCTGAGACGGTCAGGTGCCTTGCTGAAGGGCACATTGATGTTGTTTAGAAGAGGGGAGAGCGCCTCTCATTCACTTCCCCATAACAGATTCTCTAAGATTATTGAAGACCGGAGGAAACGGACCACACTGAAATAAAAACTTGTGAATAAACGGATGGAATCTGTTAAAATCCACTTGTCTGTAACAGCAGGATTAGTTGAGAGTTACCAGCTGCTGACAATGACCTCGGCTTTTCAAATGACGACCTTTGCGCCCCCTCTTCTCCATCCCAGCTTCATTAATGAGGTTTCTTTTGTATGTAATTGATGCAGCGGTCAAATATTGTGATTGTGGAATAATGAGTCGGTGTCATCGCTTTCATCGAGATTCAGACTGTCGGCTCCCAAGAGAACAACCTTCATCTTTTGTTTTTTCCAAATCGTCACTGTGCATCACCCACTGGAGGCATATATGTGTTTAGAGCTGTAACTAACAGTTTTTAATCAATTAATCTATCGATTACTTTTTTGATTATTCAGTTAATCTAACAATAATCTAATCCTTTGGTTAATTTGCCAATAAAAAATAACTGCAACAGCTACCATCGATCTTTCAAACTTGTGTTCAAGTATTTTCTCATAAAATATTTATTTTACAAATCCAAATTTCCCACATTTAAAATCACCAAATTACTAATTAAGTATCACGGTCATCGTCAATACCAGTATATGGCAACACCCCTAATCCCATAATTACAAGAGCAATTGAATATGTTCCGGGGTGTCAAATATCTCATGCCTAATTGTCAGAACGCTTTGTCTGCCACAGCGTGAAATATTTCTTGGCACAAAAAGCGTCTTGTGTTTAGCTGCCAGATTTTCCATCATGTCCAAGGTTCCATCTTCAGATGTCTCGTTTCGTCTGAGCAACAGACGAAGTTCATTATTCACATTTTTAATCAGTTACTTCTTGGCTTTAAAAAATGATTATCTCTTGATCGACGAATCATTTCAGCTCTAATTTCAATATAATTCTTCTAAAGTTTGGGACAGAATACACCATCATGACATTTCACCGGCTCCGAGTCGTTGCCGTCATGTGCGGTAAAAGTCTGCCGACTGCAAGCGATGATCTGTGAACACATTCTAGCTAAGCCGATTGTACTTGTTGACATGCTACCTGTTAACACTTGAGGAAATTAATACACCGTAAGCAATTCCACAGAAGCACTTTACTCTCTAAAGCTGAATACAAATGTGTCACAGAGTCTGTTTTACATTACAAAGAGGGCCTTCATTTCTCTCGTTGCATCTGAGTGCATGCTTGTGTGCTGTATTGACAGTTTGGAGTCTTGACAGTGGCTTAATTATAAAAAAAAAAAAAAAAGAGAGAGGTGAAAGAGATGTTTTACCTTTTTTTACGTTTTTTAAACTCCACATTCTCTCACTCTGTCACGCACAAGATGTTCTGTCGGAAAGAGGCTCTTACGTAATGAGTGCTATCCAAACATCCAAGGAAACGTTTGCTCCAAAAGTAGGCCAGTAAAATAATTACTCAGATGAATAAAAAGCTAAAGAAATAAGAGAGAGGAGAAGAGGGAGAGGAAGGAATAACTTAAGAACTATCAGAGCAGGGGCTGATAGGTTTGTTTGATACACATTCTGAATTATAAATAGATTTGAGTCTCAACCATTCTCTGCCCTTTACCCATGCTGGGATTGAATTAACTTCACTCAAAACATTTCCCTCCTCTTTACATGCTTCTCCTCTTTGTGAACTCCAGGCGAAACAGAGTAGAACGGCCGGATTTTTTAACACGACGCAAACGACCTCGTGAGACGACGAGTATCCTCGCGTGTCTTCGTCCGATGGACGCGGGCGGCCTGCGCACAGCTCCGCACAGAGAGAGGTCGGGTTTTGCCGTGCCGACCGCGGAGAGGGTTTTCACCAGAACACTACTCATCATGTCAGTAACCATGGTGATATAAAGTCGAGCTGCACAGAGCATTGATCATTCTCTGAGCTGTCATCATTATCATCCAAATAATCCTCCTTCCCCAAGGCGACTCTCACCTACAGCACCCTTCACACTCTCAATCTGACACGGTTCATCAGCATTCATGCACGTTTCTCTCTCTCTCTGTTTCTCTGTCTCATTTTTATCGTGTTCAAGTTATTGTTATTGTTTGTTATGGAGCAGCTGCTTCTCCAAGTCAATATTATTATTATTTTTGTTTTTCTACGTGGACTGAAACCACAGACTGTAGCCTCATTTGTCACAATGACACAAGCTGAGTTTCTCCCCGCCAGACACGCCGTTCAGAGAAGGTCAGGAGAGAGACCTGAAGGCGGCCTTGAAGGGAGCAGATCCCTCAATCCCACTGGTGTTTGTCAGTGGGAACCACGACCTGGGCAACACACCCACCCCCGGCACAGTGGAGCAGTACTGCAGTGAATGGGGGGACGACTATTTCAGCTTCTGGGTAAGCAGACACCTCAGACATTTAGTAGAGGTAGTAGAACATTTTTGGTTCTGTTTTGCTCTGTGTATACCATGTTTTTTATATGTTTATTTATATTTAAAGGAGTAATTCGACATTTTAGTATTGTACGTCCATAAAGACAGATGTTTTTTTTTTTAATAGTCAAAGTCGAAAGCAGCTACTTCCAAGATATCCTGACCTTTAGTCTCCAGTATGAGTCGACTCAAGAGGATAACTCAATAATACTTGTCATTAATTAGAAAATCCACATTTTTCAAACTCTTACTTTTATCAGACTTCAAAAAGCTTCCTTCAGAGCCACCGTACATTATAAAACTGTGCTACAGGCTGAGCAGGATTAATCATGACCACTTAATGATTTTCATGTGTGAAATCAAAACAAAAGCCACAAGTAAATCCTGATATTTTAATAAAATGTCACCCTATTGATTATAAAAGAAAACATTAATGGGAATTAAAACGACAACACAGAAAAACCTACACAAAATAGCATCAAGTCAACAAAAAACATCACCCAGATGAGTTGATTTTCAGTGGCTGTAAGTGACGGCATGTTCAGACGTCAGTGTGGTGGCGGTGGTTTTTACGAAGTTAGCATTGTGTTTAGCCAGCTAGCTTTGATGGAGGCGCGCTCCGTCTGTCAGGCCTGATCAAACATCTGAAGTGCATCAGTTCATCAGAGAGACATTCGTCTAAATCAGAGCGATATCAGTGTTCAGCTGTAACACTGTCTGATTCTGTCTCTGTCTTGCATTTGTAGCTTCTGTTTCTTTTTTAAATTTACAATTCCTTGACTGAGGAGTAGTAGGTCATTCTACATCTTTCTGCCCACTTAAAAAACATTTTAAGGCCATTAAAGCCCCCTTTGACTCCAGGGCCCTGCTCACTTTGCTCATGCATCTCTCTGTGTTTACCTGTGTAGTAGTAGACTTTTTTTTTAAAAATAAGGCGATTCAACGATCTTCTGTGCAGAACTTAGGCTTTTGCAGGAGTTAAATTGTAGTGATTAGTTCAGGAGAAGAAAAAAAAAAATACTTGTGTAGGTGGTCTGAAACGCACCGTAAAAATAACCCTTTATTACAACTATACACATAACTAACATTTACCACATTTCTCTGTGTTCTCAGGTGGGTGGAGTCCTCTGCCTGGTTCTGAACTCCCAGTTGTTCTACGACGCCTCGGCCTGCCCTCAGCTGAAGGAGGCCCAGGAGACGTGGCTGGAGGAGCAGCTGAGCAGAGCCGCCGCCGCCTCCTCTTCAACGGTAGGATGGCATCAGCGGCACGACCCTGTTCTCGTGTGATTTATGAGGACGGATAAAGTTCTTTTTGCTGTGTCTGGACGCCATGTTTAGGTAATTGCTGCTGTCTGCTGCCGTATGACACAACAATTTAAAGTTCTCTTCCCGTCCCCCCCCCCCTCACATCCGTCTCCGTTCAGGAACCCAAACCCAAACACGTCCTGGTGTTCCAGCACATTCCCCTGTACCTGAAGACGCCTGATGAGGAGGACGACTACTTCAACCTGCAGAGGGCGGTCAGACAAAACCTGCTGGACAGGTTCAAGAAGGCCGGTAGGAGAACGGCTTCGTTTACCTTTGTCTCCGGTTACTTTGCCTTTACCAGCTCACAGTGACTGAGCAAGTTTGTGTCCAGTATTTTTGCTCAAGGGCACCTAAACTTGACGAATCTTTTGTCTCGTCCAGCTACTTTGTCTTCGGGTCCAGTTTTGTGGCGTTTTTTTTTTTCTTTTCCTACGATTAGAAGTCACTGAAGAGATGATTCGCCTTGTCCACAACCCTGAAATATCAGCAGTGTATTCTCTGGCTGTGGATTCAAGCCGCTGTGAAGTGGTCTTAAATGTCTTATCTTAATAATTCTTAGCTAATATTCCTGTTAAACCTGTTCACTTCTAGCATATCTAACTGAAGCACAGTTTAAGATGCTAGCCCAGAGGATTAATACGCCATTAGCCAGAACCACAGGAGGAGCTCCTGACGCACACACAAACAATGCAGACATAATTGAATTAATTAATGAGTTGACTTCCTATGAGAAGAATAATTCCATAATCGAAAATCCACTGTTGTCGGCTTATAGGAGCGTGATACAAGGGCACCGGGCAGGGAGACTCTCACAAGGACAATAAGTATTTAAGTAAGCGCTGGCTTAACACTTACAAACACATTCGATCACTCATGTACACATCACGTCCAGCTGTTTCTGCACAGCTGATTGACGGGACCTCTCATACAGACACACGCCACACGCTTCTCAATTATGCATCAAGGTGACTGGCAGGGGATTGTATTCATTTCATTATCTAGCCATTATTCCAGCATGTATTTAACCATGTTGGCCTGTTTTGGTCTGATGACCCTTCTTTCTCTCTTAATTGATTGGTCCTCTGAGGGAGCTGGTTAAACATTCAAAGGGCAGTCCGTCCAGGCTTTTTACATGGAGGAACGGTCGGTGTTACTGCGCTGCACATGGAGAACATGCTACATGCGAGTGTCCTTTTCTCATCCACACTCTTGTTCACACACGTCCTGCACGCAATTATAGATTCAGAGTGCACTTTAGACATGTACTGTATGAACTATATACATACTCACATGCACGTGGTTTTTATTAATTGATGAGAGACATGCGGCCGTTCACTGTAAGGCTGCGTACACTACATGGTTTTCTCATGTTTTGTATGCATATACACTTAGCTTCATGTGTGTTTGTACAATATCTGTTACTTCTTACTAGAGCAAGAGGAAGGATGTGATTTCTGTGGTTTATATATGAGCAGCCATGTTTTCTTCATCACTGTCATTCCCACAGAGAACAACGGGCTCAGTGCAATGTCACAGTACAGTTATCCTCAAGCTTTGGTGCGTTTATGAAGATTCTTAGATTCGGATTGTAGGAAATCTACGTAGTTGCATAAGAAAATTACAAGAAAGCAATGAAATACTCGTTTGAGTCAGTTAAATGTATAAAATCTAAAATTGAAATCTGATGACTTGACAAAAATCAGCTCAGAATCAACCCAGTTAATGTTGGATAACACAGGCTTTGTCTCTCTCTCTGCTCTCCTCTGAGTCCCTGCTTTCTCTGGCACGCTCCCTCTGCTCCCTCCCTCATCTCTTACTCCCAGTATCCTGGTGATGACTGATGCTGTAACATCTGTACTCTGAATCTTCTGGAGTCTGTCCTGGAGGCATGCTTGTAAAAAAAAAAAGAGCGTGCCTGTGATCATCGTACTCTTGTGTCAGTTTATGATAGAGCTGCGACTTCCACATTTGTACCAGATACACTGTGATCATCAGGGTCACCGCCGGGGCAGGAAATGACACGGTGGCTGGAAAGACAAATCTTACAAATTAGCCATAAAGTGAGGTATTTAGCGGCGGAGAATATACCTCATTTGTTCGTCAAATAAGTGTTAATAAGTTAGAAAAATGATTAGTTGGTTCGGTTCAACACTTTCCTGCAGACAGTTGGATTGATTGCCATAATATTTGGTGCAGACATTCATGATCCCCAGAAGACGTTTCCTAATGACTTTGGTGATGCCTTGACATGATATTTCATTCCGACATTCAGTAGCTGATTCCCTTTTTGTGCGTCATCAGGTTTAATTTGTCCAGTAATTTGGTTTATGACTAAATACCCCCAAAAAAGACGTCAGCTATAACTTGGGTTTACTGTTAATTAACAAATATTTGCCTAATGCTAAACTAAGATAGGGAGCATAGTAAACACATACCTGCACCATTACATCACCATGTTAACATTGTCATAATCAGTGTGTTTCACATGCTAACATTAGCATTTAGCTCAAAGCACTGCTGTGTCTAAGTGCAGCCTCAGGTACAGCAGCTGTGAGCTCTAGACTCTCAGTCTAATTGTTTTATGTTTGTGAGGCAAGCGTTTGAAAGTATTTGGGAATTTTAACATGTGAAAATCATATATTTTCACAAAGACAGTGTGCACTGATACATAATCAACTCCACCCACGCACATCACAAGAGAGATAAATCACCAGTTCTGTGTGTGAACTTCACACAAAACCAAGTTTGATGAAACAAATATTTACTTGTGCATTTTTTTTTTTTTATTCATGTTAGCTGCAAGATTCAGGACTGTATGAACTTGCATGAAGCAGGAGTTCCCTGCAGGGCGAGCAAGCGCCTGGTAAAAATATCCCAGCGGAGAGACTGGGGGCCTTTTCAGAGCAGAAAACAATGAGAATGAGTGAAGAATTACAGAAAACATACTGAAGAAAAAGGAGAGCTAGGGTAAGTGTTTGTTGTTTGTCTTCCTGTCCGTGTGGTGAGGGGCTGTTTTTCCTCTCATCCGTGGTAAATGATATCTCTTCTGGACATACATTGGCCTTGGTAATTTTTTTCCTCTTCTTTGCCGTTGCTTTATTCACACATCACCTCCCTCCGCTGTCGGTCTGTCCTCACCGCTGCACCCTGTGATCCTCTATCCTCCAGATGTGCTCTTGTACCTTGGTGATCATTACTGTCATTACAGTAAAGGGCAGCATCATTAACTTCACACACACACACACACACTTCTGTATCCAGTGTTATTCTCGGAAAGATTCAAGTCCACGCAGGAACAGTTAAGCTTGGGCACAGATAACGCATGAATGTCATTTTTCTGCTGAGATTTTTCATTAAAGGGAGCAGCTGACAAGGATAAGTCTCAGTCTATGTTTGTGCAGCAAGCTCTCGTATAATTTGGGGCCTGGAAGACAAATGTAGCTGTACCAGCAGCTGAAGGATTACACACTTTATGGTGTAAAAAGTACTGAGCTTCAAGATCCTTTATTGGAACACTGGAAAATGCGTCATGACACTCTAACAATGTTTCTTTGTACCAATAACACACGGGTGTTGTTAAAAAAAAAAAAAACAACTCTTCAAGATTATTCTTCTTTGTTGGCTGCCCTAATGTTCTTACTTGAGCAAAGCAAAACAGCCGTCTGGCAAGAACAAAGAGGTAAAATTGGATGACTTTCCTCATTCTTTGTCTACTAATTCAAATTCCACAGAAAGCTGCCTTGTAATGGGATTGCTGGATGTTACACAAATGTTTCTTTGGCATCAAATCAGTCCTCGTACTTTGTAAGTACGTACACGCTGCCGTATGTAACTGAGTTCTCCAACCACTCCAGAGGTGTGGTTTTCTTTCTTTTTTTTTGTGTGTGTGTGTGGTGTCAGTTAACTTACAGCAGCTGGGGATTTGGCTCAGCATTTGTGAGGTTGTTATTACTGCTGCTGGGTTCCTGCAGCCCCCCCCCCACCAATCCACTGACACATGATGGAAATGGAGAATATTGTCCCCTGCAGACAAAGAAAATTTAATTGATTTTTCGTCACTGAAGTATTTTTCATTCCCCTACCAACTTCTTCTTCTCCCTCTCATAGGATATGGGTGTCGAGAGATGTTTGAGTAATTGCGTGTGCATGTTTTGTGTGTGTGTGTGTGTGTGTGTGTGTGTGTGCATTTTGCAAATAAATCGCTGTGCAGTGGTGCATTTTCTATGCATGATATATTCTGCAGCAAGTATCTGTATGTTATCTCAGCAAAACAGCCGCACATGGGAAAGGTGTGACACCAGTTAGTCATCCCCTGGCTCATCAGAGCGAGCAGCTCCGCCCTGAGAACTGTTGCCTGCAACCCAGCTCATATTAATGATGCACTGTCTCTGTGTGATGACCCTCCTCTCGGACAAGTCGGGTATCACGCACTCTCCTTTTTTAATTACGTAAGCAATTACTATGGTTTGTGATTTGACAGTGATTTGGTTGATGTTAAATCTTTAATTTAACCTTTAATTTTGCACTCGCTCTCTGTGTCTAATATCTTTGAGTTTAAACCGATATTTGTCAAATGCACAAAGAAGTCTGATATGACAACAAAAATAGTTGTTTTAACTTGTTTTGTGTTATTTACTGCTTGAGACTTTCAGTCACTACAGTACAGTCAGTTCGTTTGTCACAATCACACAAAGCCCTAAACACCCTGGAGGAAGTTTTTTACTCTTATTATATGTACTCCTGCGCTGCCTTGTCACTGTCATACCCATAATCATAGTAAATAATGCTCTCTTGGGCTTTATTGCCCCTACCTATGCCAATTTGTATGGATGCGACTCAGCTGGCGTCTAGTTACTCCGAGCGAAGGAGGAAAGACGAGCAAAAATTGTAGGTTGCTCGTTGAAGAAGTTGAATTTAGAGAGAACAGGTTTTGTGCACATCCGGAGTCTCTTCAGTGAAGATTGAATTCCCATGGCTGGGGACCGATGTCTCCTCTCTGAGAGGCTAGTGGAGTAGCAGAAATCCCAGCAGTGCTCTCAGCCTCTCCTCTCCTCATAGATGGAGTACTGTAATTAGATTTCTTAGCTCCATTCCTCCTCCTCCTCCTCCTCCTCCTCCTGCTCCCAGGTTTATATCTTACATTCAGGAAACCTTCAGCACACATACAAACAAGGACGGGTGAACAAATGCACAGATAGACACACGGATACACGCTTCCCTGCCGCCGCTGTTCGCCTCCAAACCTTGTT